TTTCTTTCTTTCTTTTTCTTCCTATTTTTATTTTGTGGCTAATTCTTGTTAAAGTCTGGGCTCAAACTTTTTATCCTCTTGCTTCAGTCTCTCAGCTGTCTTGATCATAGATTTTAAGTGTGCCCTTCATAATTTCCAAAGTTCCTTTCACTGTTGCATAAAAAAATTTTGTTTCTTATTTTCACTGATATTCATTTGATATCTTTCTTTCTTTCCTTCTGTATTTTGGGAACTGTAACACTTTTCATTCTCTTCATTTCTATCTCAAAAATTAAAAATTAAGAATACAATTATGTTATCCCTCTTCCTTTCACCAAATGTAACAACTGTTGTAAATATACCTATCTTCTTCTCTCCTTCCATTGCCAAGGAAAGACTGCCACTTCTCTTTTGAGTCACTCCTTCACATACTTGTTTAAGGAATGGTCCCAAGTTCTGTTCAAGATAAGAACTTAACAGTCTTTCTTAACTTTTCTCTAAGACCTTTCTTCGCTCTCGATATACAGCTCAAGTCTACTCGATTCTTGCCATACCCATCACTACTGCTCACAGCCACCACCCACCCCCAAGAGCATCTAGCCTGTCTCCCTGGTGTCATTTTTATGCATCTGCATCCTCATAATATAACACCTTTCAAAATCATAAACTACATAGCCTTCTCCAATTCCCATGATGAACTTCTGGTTTATTCTTCAATATATAAGAAACTTAGAAGTGACCACTCCATCCCAACAACAATGAAAAACTGAAAAATCTAAAAATTCAATGGTATTTTTAAAATCTATAAAGGAAGAAAGGTCATATGTTGAACTTCTATCCCTGAAATTGAAAAGACTGCCAGGTAAAAACAGAGCATCGCAACCTAATGGAACAGAAACTCAGGAGAAATGACTTTGCAGAAACAAATGCCATGATAGGATAACTGAACTGCAATTAAAAACATGGTGGAAGTTCAATGTGGACAAATATGAGTGGTAAAATGTCTGGGGTACCTAGTATTCAGGGGGTGCCTCATGTTTCTTTAAGTTTTGAATTGAGGAACTCAATTTATTTTAAAATGTGAATACTAAAGAAAAATAGTCTTGTACTTCTGGAACGGCTAGGAAAAAAGGAAGAATTTTAATATATACCAAGGCATTGCTAGTTCTACCAAAATCTATCCTCAGGAGAACTATTTAACCAGAACATCACCTGCTGTGATTTCCCCAGAGCCTAGCTGATTTGGGAGAAGGGAAATATCCAACTGCAGGTCTCAGTATCCATTCTTTCCCATTGAAGGAGGTTGTGAGGGTGTGAATAAAAAGATGGGAATTTAATAATCTAGACCTCCAGGCTTACTGAAAAGTTGAGTCTTAATTTTCAAGCTATATGATGTTTCCCCCACACACATATCTTTCATAATTCAACATCATATTTCTAAAGGCCTCCTTAAATTAATAACAATTACTCAGTACATCATGTTGGATTGTTGAAAAAAAAATTAAGACATACAAGGTTAAACCAAACAAGTCAAGAAGAAGGAGAAGGAGATGGAGAAGGAGAAATTATCCTTTACCTTTGAGTGCTTTCCTATCAATTCACAATGTCTATCATATCTCCTAGTTTAAATTAACTCTTTCAGGCTTTACACTAGAGAAACAATGCGGTTCTACTGTCTTGTATTTCTTTGCTGAAAGAAACTGTCAGTGAGTCCTT